AGTATCCTCGATCGACACGCAGTAACGGTGCTTACACGCTCAACAACTGCAACGTAAAGTGTGACGGGAGCAATTTCAAGAAGAACCCGATCTGTTGCCTGGCGTCAGCAGGGGGCGTGTGCAATGATGCTGAAGCCGACGAGTCTGTCCGCGCCGGAGCAGTATGCGCCGCGGCAGGAAAGCCAAGTTGCACTGAATCTTTAGACGCAGAGAGCCCAGACGTGCCAGCCATCACAAGTCCAACTCCTCAAATTGTAATCACTCCACACGAGGTAAAGTTTCTTGCATTCATCATATGATGAATGACGACAAATGATGTGTGAAGGTAGTTTCTCGGATGATTTTACGACGCGCATTCATGGATGTTTGTGTACTCGGATATGTACCACGACTCACGTAGCCATCGCTTATGGTTACAAAACAACCAGGAACCAGATGACGAGTCTCCCCAAGAGCATCGTGGAGGGACGCAAAGAAGCCTGGTAAGTACCCATTGTAGCCAAAGGCGTGGGTGATAAGAGCTGACTTCAATGGACCTATTTCCTTCCACAATACAGGCGAAGCGTTTCCCCAGGCTTTTAGAACGTGCCCGTCACGGCCGTTAAAGACAGCGAAGAAGATGCATATTTATAGTATCACATTCACTCAAGAATTAACGAATAGAGAGGAGGCGTAGGATGTACTGAATAGTGCAAACAGTCGTTATATATGTGGAGGTCATCCAGAAAAGACTTATCCATCACGAGACATTGAAAGACAAGACATGTACATGGCTTTTGAAGGTGGAGTGATCATCCCAAAAAAATTTGTTTACCATGCATGGGGGAGCCTGTCGCTACATAAGAATAGAACATAAATCACGTCACGAGTCAATTGGCCATTTAGGCAGAATGTTAACCCAGAGAGACACTTGCATTTCCTCACGCAATATCATGCATATTTAATGCTTTAAACGAATGAGACAACACAAAAGAAATCATTTAAGCAAGATTCTGCAAGATGGTATCATGACCAGTGCAGGGGTTTTCCTCTCGCAATTCACAAGAACCATCGCATGCCCTCAACCTTCTCATACATTTAGCTTACACAGCTATTCACGATTCGTAGAGGAGCAGCAATGATTGCTCGGCTCAGTAAGCGTTCAGTTGGTCACAACGCAAGTAGCGCAAGTGTTCTTGATCATGACCTTTCAGCACCTGCAAATACTGAAGAGATACAATATTGTCGGTATTTTTATTTCTTTTAAAAACACTGATGCGTTTGAAAGTTGATTTTGTAGATGTTTTCCAAAAATCTGGTCTCCGCTGTCCGTGGTACTGTATCTTTTTTACTACTTCGCTTTAGAAATTCCTATCCAGGCGAAATGAAGCGTCTTCACTATGCACAATTTACCATGCATACTAGGTTATCCATGAAATCACTTACCATATCAATTTAAGGCAAGGTAATAGCATTTTAAAGGTTCGAATTTGAGATAAGATGCCAAAATTCGAGCGCCGTCATGAGTCTTTCTTGGTGAATGAAATACTGCTGATCAGCAGCCGCTTATTGGTCAGCGCATACCAGCCTTGGTATATGCAAAATGTCGATCAAGTATCATTCGGGTACTTTTTCTTTCTCAAAGAAAGAGAAAGTGAGGGGTTGGGTCGGTGGTATCTGTCACCGCGCCACGCGGAAGAGGGGGATGTATGCACCACTCGAGCAGGAAAATAGGGCCGTCACCCCTACTAATACTTGGTCGTTCATGAATGGCGGCCAATGAATCAATGGTCAGACATGAGTCATGCATGAGACTGCGCCCGCAACGCAGGAGCGGGCTTGTCTAAACTGAAGGGGTCGAAAGGGGGCCTACGGCAAAGGGGGGACTAGGGGTGCCCTGCCCCCTCGCGGGCTTTGGGGCGAAGCTCCAGGCAAAACGCATTTTAGAGTGTCACAAACGCATTTTCCGATTTCAAATCGATTTCTCACATAGTTTGTCGGTTCATCCTACTAGCTCAAGCGTCATTCATGAATAAAGTCTCACCAATGACCCTGTTAGGCATTACCGCACTGCAAGAAACGTACGTCCTCGCTAAATGTTTCAACGTGGGAGACAGAGGAATCTCAAGGATCTGGGCCTTGGCAAAAAAGGTGGAGCCCTTGCATGTTGCTGAGATAGTGCGAGGCAGAATCGGTGAGATTAGGGTATTAGCTACGAGTATCTAATGCGAAGTGCCAATATTTTGAAGCGTGACGCGACTACTGTTTTGGCCGCATAAAGCAGAGCAGACTCTTGCACCACGCACATCGGGTCTCGGCATTGGCAAAGGCAGAGAGAGGACGAGGAGGATCGATTGAGAATTTAAGCCAAAATTCAGCAGGTCTCAGTCCATGAATTATATGGTCTTCGTTATCTTTCGGCCTGTAAATCAGCTTAAAGAGCCCAAGCCGTTGCCAACCTGACATGCGACATGATTTGGCAGTTTAGCCGTTGACTAAAAATGGGCCATATGTGCGTTGCTGTGTGTGCGTTCGCTCCTACCAGGCTCGACACCACGTGAGCATCCAATCGAAAAGTACGAGCCAAAAACTTCCCTATCATTTGATGACAACATTTGAAACCACATACACAGTCATTAAACTCCGATACGCTAGTGGACACCGTAAATTGTCATATTCGTCCCCGGCGCGTTAGCATACTTAACATGGGCCGGAAGGGGTTTTGCGGTGATCTTAGACACTTCTTCCTTCTCATCGCTGTGGCAGGCTTCCTTGTGCAAAACACACTCTGTGCGTACAGCGAGAATGCCGAGTCCGATGTTGATCAGATGATCTTTCCTGTGCCATCATCGGGCGACGACGATTCAGGCGCTTCTGTGGTGGACGCCATCGAAGGCTCTTCTCCTAACATCACGTTGTGCCCTCCTGATACTGTTTTCATGGCTGAAATATTTAGTGCGGATGTCGAAGGAGAGCTTCCTGAACGTGAAGATGTGCAGCTTGTGACAGACTTTCAGTGGAACCGCTTTTTAAATCTGAGTGACCCGGCCCCTTTCTTTCTGTGCGCCACGAACGGGCACAGAGGGTACAGTGAGATGATGAACGCATTCAATGAGACGTTCGTGCTCCCGCTTTTTGCGAACGCGACCTTGACGTGTCAGATCGTGCATTCGACCGCACGCCGCGTCCTAAACTTGACAGCCACCCTGCCTCAAGTGACCTATGGTGCTCCCGTGCCCTCCGTCATGAAGATCTCAAAGGATATTCTGCGTCGCATCATTGATGGTTCTTTTTGGAAACGCTCAGCTCCCAGGCTTCGACTTGTCGTGAGTCCTGGTCTCGAGCACGATGAGTCGGGTCTGATGAAAGTTCTTCAACGCATCGTAACCAGCTTGCAGTCGGGCACCTTTGTAGAGGCGGTGGAGGAGGACTTCGAGTGGACCGCTGTCGAGACCGCAAGTAACTCTACCGCTGCGGCTGCCCAACAAAGTCGACGTCGACAAAAGCGTGAGCGCTTGCGGCAGCGGCGGCTCGGTACTGGGTTGGGTGGGGATGAAAATGAGGACACGAGCCAGCCTTCTGCCGGGGACGACAGCGACAAGCTTTTGAGGAGAAATAGTGCAAGACAATGGTCGCAGCATATCAATCCGGTGCTTGAAGGTGATCTTTCCTGCGATTTCTCAAACGTGGGGGCGTCTATCCAGTATCCTTATCTGCGACTCAGCGGCTTCGACAACCTGGCCTTGAAAGCAGACGGAAAGAGAAGACTTGAGCAAGCATACGACTCCAACAGCACCATATCTGATCAGTCTGCATGCCTTTTGGCCTTGTTGGCATTTGTGAGCAGCGACCCGGCCGTGCTGTACGTTGAGGAGTATTCCTCTGTTGTTCTGTACAATGCCGCGGCTGCTCATCTAACGCAGTCAGGTGACGATGGACAGTACAACCAAGCTACCAGCTCTTTCCCGCTCTACGACGTGGGTCTGGACGGTACAAATCAGGTGGTGCAGGTCGTCGACACGGGCGTCGATCAGAACAGTTGTTTCTTCAGCGATGCCAAAGGTCCTCTACCGACGACTACCATAAGCGAGGCTGCTTTCGACTCGAGCAGACGAAAGATTGTCCAGTACGTGCAATGGGCGGACAGCACAGACGTGGAAAATGGTCATGGGACCCACGTGGCGGGAACTATGGCAGGAGTCAGTTTGGATACGTCCATGGACATGTCATCCTACGAAGGAGTGGCGCGCGGCGCGAAGCTGGCATTTTTTGACATGGGTTTCAGCTCTGGGGGTCTGACTTTGCCGTCCAACTTCGCGACGCGCCTTTTCCCGCCGGGATACGCTGCGGGAGCGAGGATTTTCAGTAACTCTTGGGGCACACCGTCAGCCAAGTTTTATACATCGGCAGACACAGAGATCGACAAGTTCATGTATGAGTACGATGACACTCTGGTGCTCGTGTCAGGAGGCAATAAAGGACGCGAAGGCATTGGTGGTGTCGCAAGCCCTGCCCTATCCAAGAACGTCTTGTCAGTGGGAGCCTCTTTGAGTAATCGATACGCCGACTTGGATCCCACTCATGTAGCCTACTTCTCATCCTGGGGTCCAACAAAAGATGGCCGCATCAAGCCAGACATTGTTACTCCCGGACGCCGGCTAGTCTCGGCTGCGTCGGGAGCAACCTGCGGAGTCACTATCAAGCAGGGCACGTCCATGGCCTGTCCTGTAGCAGCGGGATCCGCCGCGATGGTCCGGCAGTATTTCGTGGAGGGATGGTACCCGCGCGGAGTGAAAAGAGCCGCCGATGGTTTTGTTCCAACAGGTGCTCTGCTCAAGGCGATGCTGATCAATTCTGCAGTGCCTATGGCAGCGTTTGATTTCAACAACGGGACGCTACTGCCACTTGGATTGCCACCTGATGTGTATCAGGGCCATGGACGGATCAAGCTCGCCGACGTGCTGCCTATCAAGAGCCTGGGGGCGACTACCACGCCGAACCTGTACGTTGTGAATGGAGCCAGTATCAAGGAGGAAGAAAAGCACGTGTACAAGTTTAGCATCCCCGCCACAGGAAAGAGTCCGGTCAAGATCACGTTGGTGTGGATCGATCCTGACACAACAGCTAGCTCTGCGACGACTGTGTTGCATGACCTGGATCTTATGGTATACAGTCAGAAAGAAGGCTCGTCCTACTTTCCCAACGGTCGAACGAATGCGGACAACGTGAATACGGTCGAAAAAGTCGCACTGTACTCGCCCACGCCGGGTGACACCTTGACCGTGACAGTGACCGCGACGTCTGTTGCCACTCGGCCCGAGCAGCGATACGCTTTGGCGGCTTCCGGGAACTTTGTGTCGGGGGCATGGTACTGTCAGTCTCCTCGATCGTCCCGTGCTGGGGAGGTGTTTACTACCGAGAACTGCGATCAGAGTTGCGATAACAACGGCTTTCTGAAGGAGCCTGTGTGTTGCGACGCATCAGCTGGGAGCGTGTGCAGTGCCCAAGAAATCGCCGCTGCTGCTGCCGTTGGTCTGGAATGTGATGCGGCAACTCGGCCCATCGAATGTCCGGCGCCGGTCCCTGTAGTACCACCGACGAAAGCCCCGACAAGGCGCCCGACAAGGTCTCCGACGGAAGCCCCGATAAGATCTCCAACGAAGCCTGTCACGGGGGACTGGTACTGTCAGTTTCCTCGATCAACTCGCAGCAACGATGCTCAGACCATTAGAAACTGCCTCGTAAGTTGCGACGACAGTGGCTTTCTAAAGAACCCTGTATGTTGCCCTCCTCTTACAGTTGGGTCTGTTTGCAATGACGAGGAAGCATCGGCAGCTCAGGCAAATGGCGTCGCATGCAGCACTGCAGCGCGGCCTGAGGAATGCGCAGGGGCGCCTGCTCCGAACCCTCCGGCCCCGGCCCCTGCAGCTCCGTCGCCTGTGCCAGCTGGACGCGGGGCCTGGTACTGCCAGTATCCTCGATCGACACGCAGTAACGGTGCTTACACGCTCAACAACTGCAACGTA